AATTATATAAGTGCAATCACACAATGCCATCCATTTAATACAATTCAATAAACAAATATGTAAATAGATTCTTCCTATTCCTCCCAACCATCCCTGCAGCTGTTTTTCAGGCTATGTTAATTTTTTTTAATTATGCGCTAAGATCTAATACCCTAAACTTGAATTGAATACCAATAATTAAGAAAAACTGTTTTCATTCAACCAAGATATTGCAGAGTGCTGTACTTAGTTTTGTTGAATACTGTGTATGTGTCTGTTGACTGCAGGTGTTGATCAGTGCATACAAAAGTTTCTGGACGTGGCTCGACAGACAGAGTGCTTCTTCCTACAGAAACGGCTCCAGTTATCTGTGCAGAAACCAGAGCAGGTGGTGAAAGAGGTAAATAATTGGACTGACATTCTATGATTTGGTCCTTTCAACCTCCTCCTGGGTTTTGAAAAAAAACTACATAAGATTGTCCAACTATTTTCAAATCACAAAACAAACTCTCAAACCCTCACTGACGTCCACAACCTGCGTCAAATCTAGATTTTAGTGGCCTTCATTTCTTAGACCTGCTCTCAGTGTTTATCAATTATCATCTGTCTCTTCACATGTCCATTTTTTTTCTCACTTCAGGATGTGTCAGAGTTACGTAACGAGCTACAGAGAAAAGAATTGCTGGTTCAGAAGCACTTGTCCAAATTGCACCACTGGCAACAAGTGCTTGAGGATGTGAGCGTTCAACACCGCAAACCCTCAGACCTTCCTCCCCCTGGACCACTGGCCTTTCTGGAGCAGGCCTCTGCCAGTCTGCCCCCCGCCCCTCTGAAGCCAAACTAATACCTCAAGGAAAGAACTCAGCACCATGAACATCGTGTGATGCCCTCTGTCAACCTGTGAGGAAACTAAAGAGGTGTTTACTGTGCAGGGAACTCATTCACACACATTGTTTTACTTCAACATTTCTTCAGTATTTTGATCCATGTAAATATTTCTGCTGTCAACATTTTTTTATACTGTAAAAATAAAATACAAATTGTGAGTATTTTGAATCTTGACTAAAGCTTTAATGGTGTTTTCTTGTTTCTACTCTTTGACAGTTTTATCTCTGAAAACAGGATCTAACTCTGGCTGTAGATTCTTAAAGGGGCATTCCAACGATTTCACACATGAAGATCAGTTTACCAGACTGTGAAAAAGGTCTGGAACTCCTTTGTTAAGTATGGTTAAAAATAAATCCTGACACAGCCACTTAGAAGGAAATGGATGCTGGATCATAGTGTATCATGGGAAGTAGTGCTTTTTTATAGAGCTTGAACCATATATGGATTTATTTTTTAATCTGTGTATTTGGATTTTTCCAAATATGCTTTAACTTACTGAAAAAAACATGTCTAATCACAAAGGCTTGTTCCTAAATATCTGCAAAAGCGTCACTGAGTATTATAACTAAGAGGCATGTTTTTTTAATGATAACTTTATTTGCGCATGTGAGTAAAAACAACTACCTGCTTGTAGCTTTAATTCCATGACAGATGTTTGACTTGAGTGAAGCCATGACTGGGTCCTTTGACAGCCTGGTGTCTCTGATACAGTCAGTGTCTTCACACCCTAACAGACTTGTTCCTCCAGCTTCACAGCTCTCGCCTGTCCACGCTGACAGTACAGCCAGACACAAATCATAACAGACTGACTCTGCGGACAAAGTTTTCTACACAACGACATTCTTCACACGAAACCAACTGGGACCTGACAGATTACCATTTTTATTAGCAGACTCCAAAATAATATGTTCTGGAGGCAGGGTTATGATAAAGTTTGGATTTGGAATTGTAATAGAGGTGAAGTGAAAAGCTGAGAGACATCGAAATAATGACCTGCAATATAAAAAATCATGAGTCCATGGCACAAGATTGTCAGATATTAAGTAAAAATGTTATTGATTCACAATATATGTGTAGAATTTGTTT